ATCCTCACTTTTCAATGCGACAATTAAATATAATATGTTGTGGATTGCATATAAATAAAATATATTAAGAGAACCTACTGTGAGTGCTCCTGTAATTATGTGAAAAATACAACTAATTCTATGTAAATTAGCAAGGTAAAAAATTTGCAAGCATGGCTAAAGAATAATTTAGATGTAATCTTTAACGGATTACATATAAACTCGTCACATAGAAAGGAGGCCCCTATTAGTAGCCAATAATTATATGAAAATAATTGTGGATTACATGTAAATCAATAAGGGGAGAAAAATTATAAACATGGCTGAGTAACAATTTATATGTAATCAACAATTTACATGTAATCTCTAGCGGATTACATGTAAACCCGTCACACAAAAAGGAAGGTCCTGTCAGTCGCCAAAAATTATATGAAAACAACTATAGACTGTATATAAATGTCATTGGTATAACATAAGGCAAAACCCTTGCACCTTAAGGCATAATTCTTACACCTAATCCAAAAGCCTTACACCCTAAGCTAGAAGCCTTGTACCTAAATTAGAAGGCTTGCACTAAAATAAGAAGCCTTACACCCAAGTCAGAAGCCTTGCACCTTAGCTAGAAGCCTTCCACCCAATCTAAAATTACATGAAAACTCCTAAAGATTACATGTAAATTAATGTTGTCATCACATAACACTTAACCCTTGCACCCTAAGTCAGAAGCCTTACACCTTAAGTTAAAAGCCTTGCACCTAAGTCAGAGTTCAGGTGTAAGACTTTTGGCTCAAGTTGTAAGTGTTTTGGCTTAGTTACAAGTCTTCTAATTTAGAGTGTAAGGGTTCTAGCTTGGGTGCAAGCCTTATAGTTTATGGTACAAGTATTCTAGCTTCAAATGCAAGGGTTATATGTAATGTGATGACAACATTGATTTACATGAAACCTTAAGGCATTTTCATATAATTCTACTCTCAGTGCAAGCCTTATGACTTTGGGTATAAGGATTCTGGCTTGGGTGCAAGCCTTTTAACTTAGGGCGCAAGGATTCTGGCTTGGGTGCAAGCATTCTAGCTTAAGGTGGAAGCCTTCTAGCTTCAGGTGCAAAGGTTATAAGTAGTGTGATAACAACATTGATTTACATGTAAACCTAAGGTATTTTCATGCAATTCTTCTCTTAGTGCAAGCCTTATGGCTTGGGTGTAAGAGTTTTGACTTAGGTGCAGGGGTTCTAGCTTGTGTGCAAGTCTTCTCACTTAGGGTGTAAGCCTTATAGCTTCAGGAGCAAAGGTTATATGTAGTGTAATGGAAATATTGATTTACATGTAAACTTAAGGTGTTTTTATGTAATTTGGCTGAGGGTGCAAGCCTTTTGGCTTAAGGTGTAAGCATTCTAGTTTCGAATATAAATGTTACGTGTAGTGTAATGGCAACATTGATTTACATGTAAATTTAAAGTATTTTCATATAATTTTGCTCTTAGTGCAAGCCTTGTGGCTTCAGGTGTAAGCCATCTCACTTAGGGTGCAAGCCTTTTGGTTTAAGGTACAAGGGTTATGACTTGGTTGATTTACATGTAATAAAAAGTTGTTTCATGTAATTTTAGGTCACTGACAAGGGTGTCCTCTCTGTGTCATTAGTTTATATGTAATCTTTATCTGTTTATATGTAATTTTAGGCCACCCATAGGGGCGTGCAATTTATGTGTTTCACTTGCATGTAATCCATGAATTACATGTAAATTATTCATCAAGCATGCAAATGCATTTTTTTCCATACTGATTTATATGTAAAATGCAATGGCTTTCAAGTAATTTTAGGCCACCCATAAAGGTGTGTAATCTGTGAGTTTCATTTACATGTAATCCCTAGTGGATTACATGTAAATTACTCATCAGACATGTTTACGCATTTTTTTTCCATATTGATTTACATGTAAAATGTTTCTAGTTTTCATGTAATTCTGGGACACAACTAAGGGATCCTCTCTGTGTATTTCATTTACATGTAATCCTTAAATTACTTAACAGGCATGCTCGAGCATTTTTCCCCTATCTTCATTTACATGTAATCAATGATGAATTACATGTAAGTTAATATAAACTATTCCTCATACACGCTCGCAAGTTTTTCCTCATATTGTTTTACATGTAATCTATGGTGTTTTACATGAAAATTAGGGTTATTGACTATTGAATTTACATGAAATTAGTCATTATAAGGGTAGAATTTTTGAAAAGTAACATTAGAGGCAAAATTGTGTCCATATTTGATATCCTAAATATGAAAATATTAATGTACATATACAAAGTCTATACATTGAATAATTTATACCAAGATGTGTCTAGTAACATTTATACGTTGAATAATATATAACAATATATGTATAACAAAAACTAAGTCGTCTTTCTAGCTTTCTTTCCTTTTACACCTCTATCACATTCTAATTCCTTCATGACTTCATCTTGCTTTTCATTCTATGAATGTGTTAATAGCCATCATACTACTTCAGCCTTATGTGTAGGCAAATCAACCTAAACAAAGTAATTAATATGTAATGTAAGTCAATGATTCTAGCCGTAAAATTATTATACATGGGTAATGCAACATGCTGTAGGCAATTCAAGGTTGTTAATGTACTTTGAAATAAGGCTATTATCCCTCCCTTAAAGCCAGCATATAATGAACATACCATAGTCATATCTACTCATAATGAGAATTACATCATCATATAAAAAATTCAATAATGCAAACAACATGAACATGAACATGTAATCAGCTAAAACACTTTACATTTTCTTTTGTTATAGAACCCTGGCAATTTTGAAGTCAATGAAAAGAATATGCATAAATTCTTTTGGGAACAAGTATGTAATAATTTTTGCAAAATGCAACTTGAAAAAAATGACACAGGAATAACAATTATATTGAGCTAAAACTGTGAAGCATATGTCAAAAACTAAAATGATATTGAAAGGTTACCACAAGTGTAATACCACTTGTTTCCCTCAATCTATCTTTCCTTAGATCAAATGCTATCCTATTAAACCATTAGTTATAGAAAGCATTGAATTTAGAAGGTATAGGGTCATGTCCCTCTTCACGAATGCATAAAAAAACCAATGATAATCTTTACACACAGGTGTAAAAATGATCTCATTAGAGGATAAATCATATTGAGATGGGTTGGAGTCAATTAATCTTTTGGGTCAATTGCTCTCAACAAACTTCCATATAGTACATGGTTCATTTGCGTGCACTTGATGTGAAGGAGCTTGTCAAAACTGATTGTGTTGACCCTTACCATTAGACTTTTACTTTGCTTGACATGTTGAGCAACTTTGATGACTTTACTTAGATGAGCAACATGTAAGCAATTTCTCTTTTAATACTTCATTAAATGAAGATATACATGCTTTACGATGCCTTTCATCTTCAGCCATTTTGTTAAATTGTTTCCTTTCTTCTTCATATAGACTTTTCCAACCCTTTCTTTCTTCATCTATAGCATTTTTTAAACCCTTCATCTTGCCTTTATTTTTCAACTCATGTGAATAAACATGCAATTTATTAAACTTTGAACGACATGCACCCCTTCCCTTAACCATGATTGTCAATTGTCAATGTTTAAAGTACAAGTCCTGCACAATTGTATAAGATAGGGTCATTTATTACTTGCCATTGAAGATAATTCAATGACAATGTAATCATGTGTGTTCTATGTGTTAGCATGATCATAGGCATATAATTATCTCATCAACATGTTAGTATGATCACACATAATTTTATGGTGTCACATGATGGTTACATATAAGGTAGGTAGGAGTTCTGTGTGTGTTAACAAGAAGGTACTAGTTCTGTCTCCAACAAAGGATGATTACATTCTACAAAAGTCTAACATTTTGACAATTTAAAGAGGAGCCATTATAAGTAAATGAAAGGGATGGGAAAGTAAGCTTGTTTTAGAGTTTGTTGCAAACAGCATCCCAAGGAATATTCAATTAGCAATAAGAAGCAATAAAGTGTGACTATCATTAATAAGATACAATATAGAAAAATCCTCCTAAAAATTCTCATATTGTGCTAGATGATACATAAGCATGTTATCTAAATGATTCAATAAAAATTGATTCTCATTGAATTGAAAAAGCATCCAAAATGATCTCTTATCGTTGACATGTTTTTTACTAATAGGAAAGGGAATTTAAGCAAATTACAACTCAAGGAATGCGATTGCAATTAATCTACCTAGTTGGACTTTCAATTTTCTAATTTTATACTTGTCAAACTATTCAGGACTTCTGATATTCTCATTCTGCAAGTATATACACACTCCATATACACTTGTTCCAGTAATAAATATAGAACGTTGTATTAATTTTACATGAAAATCGGTACACATAACAGGTAATTTCACACACCCAACTTTATTTATGGATTATTTTACATTAAATTTTTAAAGAACACTGGGTTCGAACAATTGTATATTTGAGGTTAATCTCAAATACGACTAAGTTTATATTGCGTGAGGAAAAGAGGAAGCAATTGAGAACAATCAGAAACTAAAACCATGCTCACTCAAACAAAATGAAAGATTTAACACACAATATGTACCTAATCGTTGTCCCTTGAGTCACCAGTACTCTAAAGTAGCTCGAAATTCATCGCTGAAGGGTCGTTGATCACAAGTTATCTGATTAAGGCATTGTGCGAAGAAATGGGATTTTCTTTCTTGAAACTCATTGCTCACAACTCACTCACAGCTCATATTGTCGTTGATAGTCCGTTGAAAACATTCCTTGTCATCTTCTCTTGTTTAACTTGCACAAAAAAACCAAGTATAAAGTGGTCTTTGTTATCAAATTGCTTTGTTATGATAAGAATATTTTAATCCAATCAAAATTTATTAAATAAATAAAATATAAAATTTGAACCTAGAGATCAATTTTCTTTTCAACCTCGTTCTTCTCATCAATTTTTCTTAAAATATAACATGAAATAAAATAAAATAAAATAAAATTAGTAACTATCTGTACGTGACAAAATAGTCTCACTTGTAGGCTCGTTTGATATTGAGGTTCATCATTAGATCTCAGTCCATCCCTACTCTCTGCCAATACCTCTCTCCCGCTTCAGATCGGAGGGAAAAAGAAAAAGAGGTACGTTTCTCCCACTTCGGATCCCCCCCCCCCCCCAAACGGAGGCAGTTTTACAAATCTTCGATGATTGTAATGAGACGGCCCCTGAATCCGTTGATCGCGCAGAATTTAGCAATTTCAGTTCGATCGGATGTGCATGCTTTTGTTTGTGCAATTCTTGTCGATTTTAACTCCTTTTCTTATCTCTTTAGTTCGGGGATTCGCCGAAATTTTGGTATTATTTATCTGTTCCTTTTAGGCTTGAACACGCTTCCATCATGGAGCAAAGTATTTTTATTTTTCTTGGCCCCTATGGGGTTTGTTCACTTAAATAGTGTGATAAAGTAAAGAGAAAGTTCATGGAGATCGAAGATTTGGTGTAGTTATTGATAATCGGCAAGTTTCGTTGAGTTCAGCCTCTTAGTTGATTAATGATTCACTTGATTGAATAAAAGCTTTTGAAATCCTTTCTAGTTTCACAACTAAATAAGATGTAGTATAACTGAAAAGTTTTGTAATCTTGGACTCGAAATTACATGGGAACTGTGTTCTTCTGCTCAGAATTAGTTCTTTAACTTGTTTTGGTATTGTGATTTCCCTCTTTCTTTAATCATAAATCATTACTGAATCAGTATCCCTTTAATATTGGCTTTTGTTTAAAAATGGTCGTGTATTGATTTTTATATGATTGCTCTGTTGTCTCATAGTTTCAAGTTCAAACATGGGTGTGGCTCAAAACAATCTTGATTTGGAGGAGGGAACTTTGGAGATAGGAATGGGTATGTCTCATATTAGTTAACGACATGTTTTTTTTCTTATTATTTAAATGTTAAGGCTCTTGGTACATTAAGTACTTCTTAATATGAAATTATTTCTCTTCATCAAAAAAGATTGATGTAAAGATGGTTGGTTTGATATTGATAAACTGTGACTTTGTCCTTATTCCCCCTAATTTATTTTTGGTTTCAGAATATAGAACTGTATCTGGAGTCGCTGGACCATTGGTCATTCTTGACAAAGTTAAGGTAATGTTTGTACTCTCTTCTATCCTAATTGTACATGTAATTTGGGCTTTATCAATAGGGATTCCTTGGTTTCTGTATTCTATGATTGAGTTTTGCTCTGATCAACTACAACAGGGACCCAAATATCAAGAGATTGTTAATATTCGTTTAGGAGATGGAACTACTCGACGTGGGCAAGTTCTAGAAGTCGATGGCGAAAAGGCTGTTGTTCAGGTGATTGCATGTGGCATTTATTGTTGCCCATTATGGTTCATTTGGGAGGATAATTTCATACAAAATGAGGAGATACGTGGCCCATGTATTTGGGTTGATAAATGTATACTTAAGTAGTATATTTTCCTACAACTGAACGGTACTAAGATATCTTGTTACTTTTATAATTCCATTGATAAGAGGAAATGACCTTCTAACTGTTTAGTTTTGCAATCTACCACTGGAATTAATAACATTCAATTTATTTTCCTAAACTATTGGCCAGGTTTTCGAAGGTACTTCTGGGATTGACAATAAATTTACAACTGTGCAGTTTACTGGAGAGGTACAAATTATACTATATCTTCTCAAAAAGAGCATAGAATAATGGTTTGCTTCAATGCATATTATATTATGAGATTTTCCATGAAATTATCTGCTCTGTTAATTTATTTTACTTAGATCTGGACCTAAGTAATGTGTTTACTGATATCTTGGGAGTTATACTTAAATGCAAAGATTTTCTGTTTATAGAGTTGCACCAATCAATGAATGGTCTCTGAATATGTGCGTTTTTAATTATTATCTTAGAGAGAGAGAGAGAGAGTTTACTATAATCATTCCATAAGTATATCATAACTGCTGGGGAAAACTGCAGGTTGTGTAGTATCAACACAAATTGCATTTCTCGTAATTTAACACAAGCAATTGAGAATTTTATAATGGCCATTGTTTTGGTATGGTGCTTGATATATTTAAAGGAGACCTCAATATATAACCAGTTAAACCGATCTATGGGAAAAATATTCAGGAAAAAGGAAACTAACTTTTGAAAACTTAAGGAAAAAATGTGGTTTGCATATGTTATATCGTGCTTCTTGTTGCTGTAGTTTACTACTCTTGTATGTTTGCACTTTCTTTTTTCAGTGAACGTACTCTTGTGTTAAATTTGTTGTAGGGGGTTGATTTCTGTTGTCTGGGGTTGATTTCTGTTGTTTGATGCTTTCCAATGTGATTTACTTTAAATGATTAGTTTGTCCCTTCCTATATGGGAACTGAGACTGATATAGACCCAGTTACTAGAACAAGAGACAATGGAAGGGCAAAAAGGGAAGGAGGAGATTCAGAGAAGGAAGGGAGAAGTGAAGATAGAAGACAGGAGCATGTGAGATTATGCAAATGAAAAAAACTGGGCTAACCCTTAGAGGGCTTTATATAGAACCCAAAAGACAAAGAGAAACTAAAAATAGATGTTAAACTAAGAAAATAACAAAACGATAATTAACCTGACAACTGAAGTGTATTAAAAGAAAATAAATGTAACTTCCTAATGCTATTTCTTATGGTTAAAGTATGTCTTCCACAACTTTTCATGAGACTTGTCTTTTTAACTCTTGGCTCACTTTGTTTTTCATTTTACTTGTGTAGAATTAAGAGTTTTACTTTTGACCCCCGGCCTTCTTCCCTCATTCATGTTTGTAGGTGTTGAAAACTCCTGTCTCATTGGACATGCTTGGACGCATATTTAATGGTTCTGGAAAACCTATTGATAATGGTCCACCCATATTACCTGAGGCTTACTTGGATATATCAGGTAATTAAGTTTCTTGTGGGGTTATCTAGTTTAATTTCTCCATTGTTGCTTTACAAATTTATTGTTTGTTTTCTTAATATCTCCCCTTAATGCAGGAAGTTCTATCAACCCTAGTGAAAGAACCTATCCAGAGGAGATGATACAGACAGGAATATCTACAATTGATGTCATGAATTCCATTGCCAGAGGTCAAAAGATCCCTCTTTTCTCAGCTGCTGGACTTCCCCATAATGAAATTGCTGCTCAGATATGTCGCCAGGCTGGCTTAGTCAAGCGATTGGAGAAGTCTGATAATCTTCTTGAGGTATAGAGGATGTATTAAAGTGCATTTACTTTAATGTTTTAAGGGTCTTCACTTGCTTTAGATGGCTTGTATTTCATTCAGGTCTTCCTGGTTTAACTGCACCAACACTTTCCTGGCTGAGGCAATTTGGGCACTCATTGTTATTATAAGTACTCGAAGGAAAACTTTTGGCTATTTTGTTTACTAATACTTCTTGTTTATTATTGGATTGCACTGATATAGAATTTATTGCTGGTGAATAAGCATATAGGTGAAAGGTTTTGGGGCTTTATTTTTTATTACATTAGGAGGGTTTGAACCTTGGACCTCTTCCCACACTCTGTAGTCTATACCATCCATACCACCAAAACTTTTAAGGCTTCTATTATGATACTTTTATATCTCACTCTGCCTGAGTTGTTTATTTGTTAGGTCGCTTCTTAGTCTTGATTCATTTGTGAACAGATTTGGTCAGCTGAAATTGGATTGTTCTTGATGATTGTTTAACACTTGTGTCCACCCCACCCTGGCCGTGTTTTAACACAGCAGGTGGGGAACATTGCCCTTAAGTTCTTTTGTAGGATATGTTTTTTCTTATATCATTACATGAGGAATTGAAAATGTTAAATTAAAGGTCTCTCTCAGGAGTCATACTGCATTGATTCCCATCAATATTTATAATATATTTTTACTTGCTTGGCAGTCAAACATACCTTTGGAGTATCTAGTTTTCTAGTGATTTATGGGGCTGATTTTAAAACTAGCACCTATTAATCTTCTAAAATTCACGAAAATTGAAAATGTAATATTAACTGGGAAGGGTAGTCTGTGATTTGTGGTTCTGCTGTAATGAAGATGCTGACAAAAATAAGTTGAAATTCTGTATTTTTCTTGTACTATTGCTCTCTCTCTCATTTATTTAAATTTCTTGAAATTAATAAACATCTTCACTGCTTGCTCATTTTTAGAACTCATGACTCTTCTACATTGTGTAAGATCGAGAAGTTGGTTTTACCACAACACATTTTATCATTATTATGCAGGGTGGGGAAGAAGACAATTTTGCCATTGTGTTTGCAGCTATGGGAGTTAACATGGAGACTGCACAATTTTTTAAACGTGACTTTGAGGAGAATGGCTCGATGGAGAGGGTGACTCTTTTTCTTAATCTGGTAAACTTTTTAAACCAGAATGCATGTGTTGTGTCTTCTCTTTTAACTAAGAATTCTTTTTCAGAAATTATGTCTGTGTAGTTTACAAGATAACTAAAAAAAAAAATGTCTTGTGTGAATGTTATCTTGTGATAAATGCTTGTGACTTCTTGGGAATACTATTTTTTTCCTTTGGGTTTCAAGGATGCTACTGCTATATTTCAATTCAAATATTACAGAACAAGACTATACATGTATATTCTTACAATAGCATTGCATTCAGAACTGACATTTTTTCTTGTTAAGATGAAAGAAGTGTATATCTTAATATTAATAAAAGGTGTACAATTTTTTTTTAATATTTTTGAAACTGATCAGTGTAGATTTTTCGTTTTAAATTTTTGATCTAAAAGATTTTTAAAATACACCTTATTGTATTTTGAGGAACATAAGGTTCTATGAGTAAGAAATTTAATTGAGACACTGCTTCTAATTTTAAAATTCCAATTTCACAACTTGCATGAAGGAGCTAATCCTTAAATTTTCTGTTCATTGGCTGATGCAATCAACTACAGGCAAATGATCCTACAATCGAACGCATTATCACTCCTCGTATTGCTCTTACAACTGCTGAATATTTGGCGTATGAATGTGGGAAGCATGTTCTTGTGATACTCACAGATATGAGTTCTTATGCTGATGCTCTTCGTGAGGTAACATACCTTAAATTTTAATTTATTAGAAAGCAAGGCAACAAAAGGAAAGAGAATAAGATCATGAGAAACCTCTCACAGCCTTTGCCCTAATCTATTAAAGCCTTGGCCCTCAGGCGATTGTGATTTTTATGGATATCCATAGTTAGAAACAACATTGGATACTGTTTTCTCTCTGTCTTGAAGGCTGAAAAGGAAGTTATGAATATTTTATAGAGATTTCCAAAGAGTAATTTTGAGAAATATTGGCTACTATTTTCTCTTACCCTGGAAGGCTGAGAAGTAAGTTATATAAATATGGTGAGGAATTTGCATGAAACAAGCTGCTGCTTGCACGGTATACCATAGGTATCTGCTGCTCGGGAAGAAGTGCCTGGAAGGCGTGGTTATCCTGGTTACATGTATACAGATCTTGCAACAATCTATGAACGGGCTGGAAGAATTGAGGGGAGAAAAGGCTCCATTACACAAATTCCAATTCTGACCATGCCAAATGATGGTTAGGAACCTAAATAAATATATCTGCGTCAGCTATATTGCATAATAAGCTTTTAATGTTGGCATAATGTTTCTAAAATTTTGTGCAGATATCACACATCCAACTCCTGATCTTACGGGATACATTACTGAGGGGCAGATATACATAGATAGGCAGCTGTATAACAGACAGGTGGGATGATAGATCGAAGCTCTGGTACTGATGAACACAACTTGCCGGATTAGTCAGTGGACTTAACTACTATAGAGAATTTGGTTTTGAAAGTATCCCGATATTTAACATGGAAATTAACTGCGTTATTGGCTTGGTACAGAATTTTAATATTTTCCATGTATTATGGCTTTGGTGAACGTTGACTTGGTCATGTTTCACATAGCACATCAAGGTAGAATGCTGTGACATATAATTCTCTTCATATTCTAGGAAATTTATTATGAATCATCCTTTTTCATAAATGGAACCAGTTTTTCTGTGTCATGATTATTGAAGTAGGTGTCTGATTTGTATTAGCAACCTTGTAAATTGTTTAGCTGTATAGGCTTTATCTTGATTTTATCTACCGAAATTGACATTCGAATTTTTTGAATTCTGCAGATATACCCACCAATCAATGTCCTTCCATCACTATCTCGGTTGATGAAGGTAAGGATAATATTCTTGTTTCTTTGATGTCAAGATGCTGTCAGGTAACTAGTTTGTGATGTTTCGTGAAGAAAAAACTAATCGTGCTGTCTACGGTATTATTCTGATGACCTCTGCAGAGTGCCATTGGTGAGGGAATGACCCGAAGGGATCATTCTGATGTTTCGAACCAGGTCTAATTGTGCTCGAGTATCATATTTATTTTGCTTATTGCAAGTGTTTAACCATCTAACCCGTGATATTTTGTTTGTTTTCAGCTCTATGCAAATTATGCCATTGGAAAGGATGTCCAGGCAATGAAAGCTGTTGTTGGAGAAGAGGCGCTTTCATCTGAGGACCTGGTCGCTAATATTTGTCTCATTCTTTTCATTTGATAAAGTTAGCTTGACCTTGAAGTGGTATTAATGAGTTTTCCTTTTCTAACAGCTGTATCTGGAATTTTTGGACAAGTTTGAGAGGAAGTTTGTTACCCAGGGAGCTTATGACACCCGCAATATCTTCCAGTCACTAGATCTTGCATGGACTTTGCTTCGGATTTTCCCCCGTGAGCTGCTTCATCGTATACCAGCAAAGATTCTTGACCAATATTATAGCCGAGACGCCAGTAATTAATGGATTGGACTTTGACTTTGCTCGAGCATTTATCCCCTGCTCAAGCAGTTCTCCATGACCTTGGGAATTAATTTATTCCTTTGCTTTCTCGCCAAAAGTCGTACAAGAATAAAACTAATGAAGGTTAGAGTCTGGCTTGGTGCATCATATTTCAGCGTCCTGTCAGATATAAAACCACGTAGATCTTGAGATTCCGGTGTCATTTCTTTTGGGGAGGAAGTTTTAGTCGTGTTGTATTACCATGGCGCTATTTGTATTTTGGATTTTCGTTGCAGTTAGGTTTTGGTGGATTGCGAAGCCTTTCCATGTATGTTGCTTGTTTCATTGTATTATTCATTTTGTAGTTAAAATCAGGAGCGTTACTATCAGTTGGGCAATTCCTTGATGTGTTTATCTGCATTGTTATTGGTAAGTGAAACAAGTTTTTAACATTTCCTGTCAATTGAGGGGGAAAAAAATTCTGAACTATCCAAATTCTACCTGCCCGTTCCAAATGGGATTTGCACATTGCGCCAGTCCACTTTGCTCCGAAGACATTATCTTCATTATCACCCTCAAGATCCTAGATCGAATCTATGAGGAGTTTATATTGTTGAGTAGTAATTATTGGTTGTTTTTTGGGAATGAATTGAAATTTCTTTTTATAAAACTAATTTTATAACCAACGTATAAAACTATCTCCTAGAAATGTGTTTGAAAAGATTATAACATATTTTATTCGGTTTTATTTATAAATTATTTTTAATAATTATATCAATATTAATATAATAAAAATATAAAAAATAATTGTAAATAAAATTTCAAAGATGACCCTCAAATGAGAGAGCAAAAAATGACTCAAGCTATATAATATTATATTTTTTGTATTTCTCTATCATATTTTATAGAAAAGTTATTCTTTTTACAGTGAAAAATGTATTGTCAATTTTCCTCTATATTAAAGGTATTTTGAAAACTTTATGTTGAAATGAAGAGTCATCATATTGAATGACTAATATTGTAGATCATATTTTTCTTCTAGACTATGACCAATATAGCGGCCTGGAGGGAGTACTAATAAAAAGAGAATAGATCAAAAACGTTAATGCAGAGGACAAATGAACTCTCATATTAACCTAGAGGGTGAGATTGAATTCTTGAGAAAGAAGAACAATTATGTTATTTTTTTTTTAAAAAATAAAGATACGGATTTTTTTCCAGAATTAACATATTCTATTTATTTTTAATTAAAATTTATTTTAAATAACCCAAGGATCTTCATTCTTCACTTGCCACCGAGAGACATGGGAATTTTACTTAGAGTTAAAGTGTAAAAATACTTACCGAATAGTTGGCTAGGAGTATCTAATAGCCTAAAATAAAAATAATAATAAAAATATCCATAACATTATTAGAGTTAGTGCAAAAGTGTCCAAACTATTAACTTGCCTTGACACCATTAGTTTTTGATATTAAATGCTGATTGTGCTACTGATTGTACTTGTTATGTATCAGTCTTTATTAACGTGGATTAAAAAAAAGGGCAAAAATACTCATGAAGTTGTAGTCCAGGAGCATCTAGTAGCCTAAAGTAAGAAAAAAGAAAAAAATATCTATAATATTACCAAAGTTAGTGTAAAAGTGACTAATTCATTAAATCCCTTAAATAACAACCAATTAATTGACATTTAAGCAAAATTTAACCACTTTTTTTACTAACCTAGACAGAAAAATATTTCCAAATAAATTCTATGGAGATTGATCAATTATTGTATGAGTATCCATAATATTAGTTTGATAGGTGTAGTAGCGACCAACTTGTCAAAATCCATGACACGTGATTTTTTTTCCATCACCACATGTCCCACCCCCTTCCTCTTTTCCTTTCTATTCATTTTTCTTGTCTACAATACTTGAGATCCAATACAATGAGATATGTTGCACACAATCGAAGATTGAAAATAAAGAGGATGTGGCTCACTACAAGGAATGTAAGAACTTCATGAAAGAGGTTGTCTCTGCTCGTAATACCTTCGTGAATATACACAACTCCTACACCACCTACCTTGAAAACATTGGCACAACCTTAAGTGATTTGTTGATAATGAGGTTTGAAATCCTTAATTAGTTCTGCCATTGCTACAAAAAAGTGAGTGATTTAACTTTTTCTTTGGTCAAAACAACATATTTGCACATGTTATTCATATGATGACCGATCAATCTTTATAGAATTTTACTTGGGAATATTTTTGTCCATGTCAATGAAAAAGTAGTTAATTTCTACGTAGTTATCAGCTAAAATGATAACATTTAATGAATTTGATGGATTAATCACTTTTACATCAACTTTGATAATATTATGAATATTTTTACTCCTTTTTTTTAACTTTAGGCTACTGAATGTTCTTGGTCGATGACTTTATGGGTGTTTTTACCCTCTTTTAGTCCATGTTAGTAAAAATTGATACGTGACAAACACAGTCAGCATTTAATACAAAAAATTAATGACGTTAGGGCAAGTTAATGGTTTGGTTACTTTTATAATAATTTTGATAATGTTATGGGTATTTTTATTTTTTTTTATTATTTTAGGCTACTGAATGCTCTGATCATTTAGTAGGCATTTTTGCACCTTAATTCTTTTATTTACTATCAAGACTCAAGGACAGTGGCTTGAAAGAGAGAGAGAGCACTAGCATGAATGTATGGCGTGTCATGCGGAGGTAGAACCCACTGGAGAAGATCAAATCTTTCTTGTGGTTGATGCATCATCAATTTGTCCATAGGGATGCAAAGAGAGATGGAGGAAGATTGTTAAATTGGGGTTGTGGATTTAATTGCAAGGTAGGAGTTGATTTGAATGGAATGTAAAGAGAGGGGCTGGGTCAAATGTTCACCAAGAAAATCCCATGGAAAATTATTTTTGCTAATAGTAGCATCACTAACTTGAATACTCTCCTCTTGATTAGAATCCTGCAAATAAGTGTATGTTAATGGAAGGGGAGAGGGCTCATGTTGAGGAATTCTGCAAAACAATGATGGAAGTTGGATAGCGAGCTTTTGTGGTAAAGTTATCCTTCTCTATTGAGATTGTGCCTATCAAAAGAGAGGTTCAGTTATGTTGGGAAAATGATTGATGTTTTATTTCTTTAGCCTTTCTCTGTTTTTAGAATGGATTTTACTTTTTCCTTCTCAGGTGAAGGGAAGACGTTAGACTTCGGAGGAAGAAAAGCTCATCACGGGTCATAACGCATGTGATTAGTGAATAATAATTACTGAAGGCGGTTGTTTTCTTCTCTAAGGCTATTATGGTCCCTTTGAATTTAATTTCCTTCCTATTTTCAGTCAAAATTTGGCTATCTTTTTAATAAATACTTAAAAAGATTGAGTGTATCACATTATTTAAAATTTATTCAATTAAAATATTTTAAGTAATATAAAAAAAATCCTGTGTGATGTTTTTTTAATTAATTTTATTCTTATAACAGAATGTATATTTAATTTTTTACTTTTTTTTTTATATTTTATTATTAATATTAGAATCAATTTATGTTTAATGACATTTGAAGTCATGTTTTTATTTGAATAAATCATAAATAACGTGATGCAAATTGTACTTAAAATTTCTCTACCTTCTTTTGAAAAAAAATATTAAATTATTATGAATATTATATTAATATATGAGTGGATGACCATAACTTTCAGTATTTAAGAATTTTTATCTCCCATAACCTTACAATAGATGACTTACAAGGACTTTTAAAATTAATGTCTTATAACTTTTAAAGATTACATACTATTTTAATTACTATGATATCCTTTATTTATTTATAATATTAAAGATATGTTTTAATGATTAAATGCCTGTAAAGAGCGGTCATATATAAAACATTGAGCAGCTAAGTGAATAAAATATGCTTTTTTATTTCTTATCAGAATTCTTATTATCTTATTATTCTCTTTTCTTACTCTCTTTCTTCTTATTCTCATAACGTAAATATTAAACTGTTTGGTCCACGTGGGTGCGTTAAGATCTTCTGCTCCCGTCATCTGCACCTTTGTCCATCACTATGATGGACCTGTTGTGTGGATGTATTCGAACTTCTTTCCCCTCTGTTCTAGCTGTGCGCTGCCGGTGAGTGCAGGGACTGTTGGGGGGCTTGAGTGACAAATTCTATTTTCCCCTGTTTCGTCTGTCCTGTCGGCTCCTTCTTTTATCTATCATAGTTGATTAAGGTGAGAAACAACAAACTTTTCTTCTTGTGGAATCTGGTGCATGAATTGATAGTTGAAGATGAGAATTTTACCTCTCTGTTCTGCTGTACATGTCTAATTGGGAAGGGAAAATTGAGATTCAAACAAGCTAAATTTAACATTAAAAAGTTTGCTTTTGATAAATATTTTATCTATTCATGGATTAGTTGCTACCAGAGGAGTTAGATGTGAGTTCGAATCTTCTTTAATCTTAATTGATTTTGGGAGGAGTTAGGCATGAGAAGCCGCATCTTCCAGTTCTTCTTCTTGTGTTTACTTTTTTTGGTGTACTAATTGTTGATTTTGAAAAGAAAAGAACATTTGAGGATTTATCTCCTTTGATAGAATAAGGTTTTTGTTTGGGATGATATTTCTTGAGATTTTATTAAATTAAATAAAACATGATTGATTTAAATGTTATTTAGATGAGTTCAGTTTGAGCATTGTAAAGAATAATGTGTGACCAATTTGTCAAACCTTCCTCCCAAAAAAAAAAAAAAAAATCAAAAAAAGAAAACCCCCCGGCCCCTTAACCCTTCTGCATCCCCTTAGCAAATCCCCGAGCACGCACGAGGCCACGGCCTCTATCTCTGATTGGTTTCCCCGATTTGTGGTGCAAGAAAAATGGACGCCTGCGTTGACCACTATCTTGTACTTGGATTACCGTCCGGCGAGGAAGGGGCTAAACTTACCGAAAAAGAGATATCAAAGGCTTACAAATTGAAGGCTTTGGAATTGCACCCGGACAAGAGACCGGATGATCCAAATGCCCATTCCAACTTTCAAAAGCTCAAGACTTCATATGAGATTCTCAAGGATGAAAAGGCTCGGAAATTGTTCAATGACCTGCTGCGGGTTAAGCGGGAGCAGCACCGCCGACTGTCAGAGCGCGATGGCAAGCGACGAAAGATGGTTTCTGACCTCGAAGAAAGGGAGCGGGCAGCTTTTGCCCCTGACCCATCTGTTAAAGCGCAAGAAGAAGAGGAGAGGATTGCTAGGCAGCTGAAAGAAGAGATTGCTAGGATTCGGGCTATGCACGCCAATAAAGGAGCTCCCACAGAGCCTGATTTGAAGAAAATGTCTATGGGAGTTGGGAAAGAAAGCATGACTAGTGGTGGCTCTGGGTTGGATAAAGAAAAGGTCCTCAAAGTTTCGTGGGAGAAGATAGGTGAAGATTATACGGCAGAGAAGTTGAGAGAACTGTTTTCCAAGTTTGGCGAAGTAGAGGATGTGGTCATCAAGGGCAGTAAGAAGAAGGGTTCTGCACTTGTTGTGATGGCCACTAAGGAAGGAGCTGTAAGATTTTTCTAATCTAGTTCTTTCTTCTCTTGAATTTTCTTATCAGTATTTACTTATACTGGGTGTTGTTATGTATAGGTTGCGGCCACAGGAAGTGTTAGCGGTCATCTTTCTAATCCACTGCTGGTTTTACCTCTTCAGCCTGCTGTGGCAACACAGTTTTCAAGTTCCGAGAAACCCGTGGAACCTGATAAGATCAATAACCTGGTTGGTGCTGCGTATCAAGCTTTTGAGAATTCTGTCTTGGAGAAGCTGCAAAAGGTCTGCCATTTTTCTCGCCTCTGTAGCATTTTAACTGTAGCTGTTCTGTTATTTTATTTTACCTGGTTAACGCATCCCCTTGTTAAACGTATATTATTTACGTAAAATTCTTCTATTGATCTTGATATCCTTCTCCTATCATATTTGCTTGGTAGCAGTTTGATCCAGTTGATGACATTTTATTTCCTTGTAAAGTGGATGTATCATTATGTTTTTGGTGTACTTTTTGATAATAATTTGAACATGAAGTTTAACACTATGGAATTATGATGTTAATACTTCGTCCTTTCAAGAAAAGGGTTCATCTTCATCTGAGATGTTCAACCTCTTGTGCTGTATATAATGGCCTTCCAGTTTATTGGATTTTGAAGTAAAACTTCGTTTCTTTTGGATATTTGGACTTCGGAGCATAACGAAATAGAATGGTCTCACTAAAAAATGGACTAGAATGGAACGTCCTTTCTATACCTTACCTTAAGGAAAGGAAAAGAATTGACATGTGTGCTTGGGAATGCAGGGGGATTGAAGGCAGGGCAAAGAAGTTTTATATAATAGATCCATTTTATTTTTTTCCTTTGCTTTCTTTTTGTGTCCAGTGCTTGGTGAATAACTTTTGAATCTAGAATTTGATAAGATTACATTAAATTCCTGACTTCTGTACATTTTGGGAGGTAGTTGAAATGAAGGAAAACTGTGTTTTGTGGAAGCATCTCTGTCCTGTGGCTTTCTTAAAAATATAATGCATTCAACAATTGGATGATGGGATTCGACTATTTCTTCAGTTTCTCTCCTTTAAATTCCCATCCTAGCTCTCATCTGAGCTGTTAGTGTAATTCTACTATCAAGTTTATTACATTTTACAATAGGAATGTTCTTTGGGACCAGTTTGAGGATATAATTATTGGCATCATTTTCCTTTCTGATAATTGAGCTAACAATTGTGAGTTGATGGTCTTGGAAGATCTAATTCTCCTTCCAATAGATGAGGTTTCGAGACTAGAATGGAGAGTGAGGTGCTTTTGCTGGAGCATAATTTCAGAATTTTCATCTGTAATTGTCATTTTTTATTTGTAGGATAGGTTTGATTTTAATAAGTTCCTTCAGTTCAGGCAAATTATCTTCTTCTCTATATGATATTTGTGCTCCTGTATCTCTATTGTTTTAACGACATCCGTTACTTTATTTCTTACCTGATGTGTTGACTTGTATTTGTTTGCAGGCTTCGCAGAAGCAAAAGTGACAATTTATATGGATGATGCATAAGATTGCGCTAATTGGCTATAATCCACGCAAATTCTTTGGGTACCACAAAATATAGCTTTTTGTCCACAATCATCAACTCCAGTGTCTTTCTCGTCTACCTTTACAACCTGTGTCTGTTTTCTGATGTGCTAGTTAAGGAGTAGTAACACAGAACCTTGAAGCACTTATTACTAATCTTACTCTAATTTAGCTGTAATTTATTTGTCTCCTGGGTATTTATTCATTTATTTACAATATGACCCTAGCATACTTGATTCAGATAATAAAACTATTATCTGTATTGCCCTTTAGGAATTTGCAGCTGATGCTTGCTTAAACAGAATGCTGTACTTTTACATAGGCAGCAAGTAAGAAGGCTTATTTGTCTATTTTCTGATATTTATTCACTGGTTGTACACTATTTCTGTAATTATTATGTTTTATGGAAGATTATACTGATTGCTAATTTGCTATATAACTGGACGTATTATTGAGTCAACTTGTTACAACTTCATAGCCGAATGGGGGCTTTTTTTTTTTGGTGGATTTGCCTAAGTGAAGAGCAAGTGATTGCTCAGAGGGAAAGTATCACATAACTTACAAATTATTTTCTACTTTTTAATCATGGAGGTGGACCTGACCATGTGCTTTATGCTTGTACCTTCTATCGACCATCTCCTTTGCTCCTTAAATTGATCACTTGTCATTCTGATGTGTGCCTTGTTGAGCATGTCAAATCTTGTGCGAAAAGAAATAAGGAAGGAAAAAAATTTTAACGAGAGATTTATGCTGTAGTAACTGATCTTCTCTGATTGATTGAATTCCAGGAGTCTGCAACCTGGGGTGATGAACTATGGAAACTGAAGATTTGAGGCTGTCGTATTGTTATCATGTCATGTTGAGTCAATGACTCGATGGTGTCTTTTAGCTTGTGGTCAACAAGAACAAGTGCTTGCAGATGGTTACTGAGAAGGCGAGCTCAAAACAATGAAATGATGGCACGTTGGCAAAGTCGCTTCTTGTTGCCTATTGGCTTGTCAGTCATGAACTCTGCTGTTGTTCATACAACGTGGTGTGAATGGACCGCTCAGATGTAAACCCTTACTAAAAAGACTTCTTTACCATTCCCTTGTTGAAAGTGGAGGGGTGATAATCTACCTTTTCTTTTCTGGTTTTTTTTTTTTTTTTGGAAAATTTGTGTTTAGCCTTTTTTTTTTTTGTGGATAAAAAAACTTAGATGAGTTAGATTTGAGGTTCATTATTGGTGTCAAATCCTGTGAGAAAAGAGAGAATGAATGAAATTTATTGTGATGTTTTTAAGTATTAAGCAAGTTGCAGGATTGAGTCTGACTAGAACAGTTGGGAAAATTCAAGTCTTCGACCCTTCCTTTAGAGCATTCTCTTGGTAGTTTTAAAGGTGGGTTCTTTCAAAACAGTTATTTATAATTCTATTCTCAGAACATTTTCTTACCGAAGTTAAAATTAAGTAGATTTGTAAAAGTTATTATTTTGCAGTCTCTCTGGGCACCGTACTGGTGACTTGCATGGTTGATGTTATGACGATATTGAAGTTATCGTTCATGAAAGATTTTGTTGTTAGCTGAAAATACTTATGGCTTTGAAGTGGGAGAAGTGGAAGTGAAAAAAATGTAAAGTTTGGTACATTGGAACTTAATTCCAGATGGAACTTGCATCCATAAAAATGATGGAATTGACTTCGATGCTATATTCTATGGAATTGGTTTGAGTTCTTTGGATGTTAGATTTTATGACCATCATGTCCTCACCTATTTTATCAATTTACAAAATTTGCCCCCCTAGATTTATAAACATATTTCACCCCTCTTCTCAATTCGGACTTCAGAACTCGCCAAACTTGAACAATACTCACCGGAGAACAGACACTCAAGAGCTAATGATGGTGGACGACGTAAATGGCAAGCTCAACCTAGTGTTGAATGCTGGTTCGTTGACTAAGAAAAGTGGATCTGCTTCTTCTATCAGGCGGGTTGAGAGTATCAAATCAGGTCGAGAAATAGATCAAGAAAGTCCATCACCGGTGCCGCTGAATTGCCGGTGCCGCTGCCCCGCTTCACCTCTCACGCAAATCTTTCTCTCGTCTCTCTGACTCTCTCATACTTAGATCAATCGCCGACTCACCATTGGCCCCTCTCCCTTGAAATTTTTTTTTTATTATTTCAAATTTCAGTAAATGGTGGATTTCAAAGCAATAACTAGCAAGTGTTTTTTTTTTATTTTTTTTATTTCTGCGTTAGATGTTATTAAACGCTTGGCTAATTGGCTTTTATTTGCCTTGAACTTCTAGGTTTGTCGTGGTCCCTTTTATTCCAGTATCATGATTCATGGTGGCCGTGAAGAGGCTTTTGTTTTTTGTTTTTTTGTTTTTGTTTTGTAGGAACCATGAAGAGATTCTTTGACGATGGTTCTTTTTTGTGCTTCTTGTTCACAGTGGAAGAGTTTGTTTTTTGGTTTGAAGAGCATTTTGGTATTTTTATATTATTAATATATATTTCAATTAAAAATTATATCCTAGTTTTATTTGGTTTAAGAACCTATTTTTACTTCACTTTTACTTCCTCCTTTATTTTTATTTTTACTTTTACTTTCATAAAAAAAAATTTTATGATACCAAATGAGACATTATGTTTTGATCACTTCAAGGAAACAAAATAATTATGCTTTCACTGAAAAAAAAAATTATGATAGCTTTTGCCTAGATTTGACAAGAGATTCTGTAAGATATAAATATTCATGTATGAGAAGTTATTGATGACTTTCCTCCCCTTTTCCTATGTTGCATGTGTTTTTAGCATTATTTTAAAAATTGGATTAGACTCGCCAATTTAATTGGTTGAATTAAAAATTGTTTTTTATTGTCCGTGTTTGAAGCGTCTCGTCAAAACTGGAAGAATTGTAAGTTGGACAAGATTATTTTGTTAAATTTTCTACTTATAGTTCAAATTTTTAAGCTACAATTTATCAATATTTATATATTTTAAATAAAAACAACAGGATATTAATGAAAATTTCCTTTTTAATTATATATTATTTATTTTTGGAATTTTTATGAAATACATATATAATGAATGTAATTCATGTTTATTTTAATTATTATGAATGATAATTTTTTATTTCAAATATATATCATTTAAAATTTAAAATATATTAATTTCTTTATGACAATTTATCTATAGTTAATTGTGGTGAGATTATTAATCCGTCTATTGATGTGTTAATTAAATCAATGACAATTTCCATTTTCTTAATATTGACTTTTATCTTTGTTAATTTCATGCATCCGTGAGAAGTTACAAGTTCAAATTCCATTGCATTAACTAATTTGAAAAAAAAAAAAAGTTGTTCCTTCGGATGTGCATGCACGTGGGGTTAACTGATAACCTCCGGTACTCCCTGGATACTTCTTGGAAGGTTAGGATAATGGGATTAGTATCTTAAGCTGGAAACCATAGCAAGTTAGGAACGAACGTATCCTTCGTAAGGAAACTATTGATGAAATCTCTTTTTTGGTGCATGTTAGAGCCATAGTTGATCATACTCCTAGAATTTTTCCTACTTTTAAAAGTCAGATGCAATTTCACAATATTCTTATATAAGGTTGTCAAATTCATGAGTTTAAGTAAATTTACAATAAAGATGTAAATTCAAATTATAAATTTAGATTGTAAACTTAAAAGAATTTACCTCTATTAATAAAAAGCCATTAAAAATATATATATTTAAATAATTAAAATATAAAATGTGATCATAATTTGATTTAAATATATTTCAAATATAAATTATTAAAATTAAATTCATCTATATTAATAGATTATATTACTCTTTTTTTTCAACAAAGTTGAAACAATAACATTTGAAAAAAATAGATCATATATACTTAAATTAGTTTTTTTTAACAAAAATTAATATGAAAGGCTCTTAACTATTTTTTTACTTATTCTGACATGTATGTGTGTGTCTGTTATACTCACTCCATCCCACTTTTATTATTCAACTTATTTGTTCATATCCTACCTTTACCATTCAAGCATGTTTGTTCAAATCTTGTGTCTCGCGCAGGAAGAGTACTAAAACATTTTAAGGTCATAAGTGACAAGCTTTTGATCAAGCATATGAAATAAGTTAATTAAAAGGGAAAATTTCATTTAAGACCCCATGACCACACTTAATAAAAAGAAAGCCCCTTAAACTCTGAAAATTCACTTCAAACCAGGGGTACTAAAATAAAATTAAAATGCAGAGTAACCTCATGGTCTCTCACCCCCCTCATTTCCCATGTTGAAATTATTCATTTCGTTATGAAAAGTTATCTATTGACCTACAAGAGTTGTTTATGCTATTACTAAACCAAATGTTGCAATCATAGTAAAAAGAGTTGTTCATTGTCCATACTGAAATTGTTCATTAACATACAGAAGTTGTTTGCACCATTACTAAATCTTGATTTTATTCCAAGTGTAGTAATCATAGTAAAATGAGTTACTCGTTTTCCATAGTAAAGTTGTTTATTAACCTTCATGTAATATTCACATATCGAATAGTAAAGTTTTCCTTACTAATCCACAATTATTTAAAAATCAAGGCAATCATTGGATGAGACCAATTGGATTGCCAAGTTTATAATTTTAAAAGAGTGGGATCTCAAATTTTTCATAATTCAAAATTACTTAAATATCATTCAATAAACCTCAAATCATAGTAAAATATTGTTTTGAAAGCATGTGATACGTTTTAGGAGTCAAAAGGACTTAAACCAGTTAAAAAACATCAAGGAGTGAAAAACAAGGTGACTTGTCGTGACTATCCTTCATGGCATGTTGCACGTTATCAGACAGCATTTTGCTGCAATTAAAGGCAACTTCCGACATGCTCAATTTCTTCGTCTGACATTCGATTAAGGTGATCTAAATGTTAACAAAAAAGTCTTTTCATAAACTAGCTAATGACACAGGTTTTATTTCCAAATTATTTCATACAAGAAATATGGACACCTAAACACATTTTCATAAAATTTTCACTACTCAAGGGTGTAACAAATGTAACACTTGCCCCGAGTGTTATTCAAAAATCACATAATTCAAATAAATTAAGTATGGTTAAGGAGTTGATCCTCTAACCAACTTAAGAAATAAATCATTTAAAATCTTAAAAAAATTATAGATTCTACCTATAGCGCACGGAAGCAAGCTAGACGAAAGTGGAATAAAAAGATGCTGTCATGACAGCATTAAATTGTTGTCATGACAGCCCTCCTGGGCCAACTTTCAGGAGGCACTGTTCTATCATTTGACCTCTGATCAAAGTGATTTAAAACTCACACATCAAATTCAAACGGTACTATAAGTGTACTAAATTTCAAAAAGATCCAACGGTCGGATTAAAAATTAGACATGTTAAAAGATTGGCTATTTTTGCTGTCAAAAGCTGTCATGACAGCACCATCGGACTAACTTTCGGGGTGCACCATTTCATCATCTGACCTCTGATCGGAGCGATTCTAAAGCCTACATATCACTTTTAAATAGTACTATTAGCATACCAAATTTTGGAAAGATCCAACGGACGGATTGAATTTCGTGTATGTTGCAATATTATTAATTATTGCTGTCATGACAGCTCCTCCGAACCAACTTTCGGAGCGCGCCATTTCTCCATCCGATATCCGATCGATGTGATTCCAAAGCCCACATGAGGCTTATAAAAGTTTTTACTTGTGATCCAAATTTTAGAAAAATCCAACGGTTGGATTAAGATTTGGACACTCAGATGTAAAAGTACAGGTTTTTGGTAAAAATCATTTTTAAAATTGTCCAAATCTCATCCTAATGGTCACAAACTTGTGGGAACACTTTGGACACGTCAAATAAGACTAAAAACACCTGATAGAACTTTTCAATGGTAGAAAACCTTTTATACCAAAATTTGACCACTCAGGTGCCATTTTCCAAAATGGACCTAAACCCCCAAAATGCAAAAATCACACAAGAGTGGCCAAAAATTATTCCAAATATCATATACACATATGAATACACACGCTAAACATTTTCACTTAGCTTAGAGATCTCTGTGGGGCCCACACACCCACTCTCTCTATCCAAGGTATATGTTTGCCCATAACACATCATTTGCAATGCAACCACTTTGCATTTGCTCGTGGAATCACATATATATCAAAATAAATATTTACTTATAGTGGAAACTTGGTCTACTAAATAAATCCATCAAAATCACATACCATAGCTAAGTTTCCTAGCCACAAGTTTACAAGCAAACAAAAATTCATACACA